AACGGCCATGTGGATGGTGTTAACGGGGACGCCAATGGAATTAACGAACACGTCAACGGCCACGCGGAGTCTGGCGGCCAGCCCAAACCGGCTCTTCGCCTGTCCTTCCCCGAGTACAAACGCATCTCCAACCTGCTGGTCCTGCATTTGCGCCGGGCCGAGGAAGGTCCGAGACTCCTCTCTTCGTGCCTGCTGAAAAGAGTTTTCCCATACTTTGTTTGTCTGTTCTTTTCTTTTTATTATTAATCAGTCCTAACATTTTCTGTCTCTGTCTGCGTTGCAGCTGAGGAAGAGGAGGAGCTGAAGAAAAGCGCGGTGGTCAACTGGTACCTGAAGGAGATCGAGTCGGAGATCGACTCCGAGGAGGAGCTCGTCAACAAGAAGGGTCTGATAGAGAAGGTCCTCCACAGGCTGGTGCACTATGTGAGTCCACCCGCTCCAAAAATACTACCGCTGATCAGTAAACCAGCAGTCATTTTTAGCCGGCATGACTTGACCGCGTGTGTCTGCTCCCCCAGGATCACATCCTCATCGAGCTGTCTCAGGTGGGGCTGAAGGGCTCGGAGTCCGCGAGCACAGAAGAAGAGGTTCTGGTCGTCAACCCCAATTACATGCTGGAGGATTAAACTCCTCGGGCCTCCACGATTGTTGATATTTAACCTCAACAGTGAAGCTGATGTTCAAGTTGTTTTTGAATGCTCACATGTAATGCATATATAACGGTAACATTCGAGATGCTATTTGACTTGTGTTGTACTGTACAGAAGATTCTAGTGCTCTTTAAGATAAAAAAAAAAAAAAATCTGTTACTCTGTCAACCTGACTTTTGTAAATACGCTGCTCTCTCTTCCTCCAGTTTGCTGACTTCGGTCTGTTTGTTCTCTCAGTCAAGGGAACTGCCCTGAATTGTGTATATTCCAGGCATACATTGAGGCTGACGCACCTCCATGGTTTCAAGTTATATTGTATGTCTTTTTGTAAAATGATGACATGAAGTGAATGGAAATATTAAAGGTTTGATGAATAAAATGTTGACATGAACACAAAAACACTTGGCGCTGTTTTCCTGCTGCGTTTCAAAGAAGCGCTACGTCGATGTCGTCCACCAGGTGGCAGCAGTCAGATAATTGAAATGCCACTGCGCATGCGCGATAAGCCTTATTCAACAATCATGGCGGCGTCCTACGTGACAGCAGTCAGGACAGCACTTAAAGGTAAAATACAAATGTATTAACATTACACGTCCTGTAACAAGTAAGCCGCAAGATGCTAAACATCCAAGCTACCTCGTGGCCGAGTCATTCGTTTAAATAACGTCATATGGCGTTATTTTAATGATTGCTTTTACAACACAGGTGTATTTCCTTGTTTATGCACGATGTAACCAGACTGAACCCTCACATTAACCTCGCCGCAGAGGTGACAGAAGTCATATTTTTTTTATTTTAGGTGTACGCCTTGTTCCGGGCCGGTGGCTCCTTACGCAGAGGTGCCGAACCCCGGAAGTGTGTCAACATTCTCGGCTACACGTCTCCCCTGCTGCCGCCCTGTGCAGCTCTAGGATAGAACCACCGAGAAGCAAGCAGACACACAGCACATCCGGCACCGACACAGAGGACAGGAGAGCCGAGGAGGAGGAGGAGGAAGATGAGGGTCCTGAATACATCCCCCAGAAAAAGGCGAAGAACCCCATGGTTGTGATCGGCTACGCCTGGTGAGTCTCTTCTCTTCTCTCTACATATACTCTGCCACAAAAATGATGCCTTCATTAAACACAACTCACGTAATCAGACATAAGAGGCATTTTACAAAATAATATCTCCCATAAATCATCATAAAATGAGTAATAAAGTAGGAAATGGACTTCATTATCAGTCTCACTGACATCTAAATGCACCTGAATGTAGCTGAGCACATATTTACCTTTTAGAGTCTTGGTTAAGTTGTGCTTCACATAAGGCTCTACAATGTAGTTGATATACCGTACATGAGACAACATTTTAGTAATAAAGGTTTGTACCATGAGACCATTTACTCTTATACAGATGCTGCAATTTAAAATATTGAATACCATGTTGTAATATGAGTACTGCTACCAAGGCAGCAATGCTGTAGTTGGACAAGTTGCATTGAACATGTTTCATTTTCTGAATAACACATTATATATTGCTTTATATTTCTAATTAAACAATATTAGTGTTTAATTAGATCTTACAGTCTTAAGGTAACTCCTGGTCCTAAAGCAGTGAGCTGCTGGTGTATCTCATTAGCAACAGCCCGGGCAGCCTGTGTGTCAGATCTACCAAATGATTCAGTTTTACCATTCAGATTATTTACTGACTGCTGTTGTCTGCAGTGACGACTACTAATGTAACAGTCTCACAGCAAATCAAGTCAAGTGTTTGTGTTCTTGCACCAGAAGTCATGTGGAAATACAGCAGGTGACAGAGGCTCTAGCTTATTGGGTACACCAAGGTAAAACAAGAATCTGACCATCATGAAGATAATATAATCTAAATTATAATGTCTGCACTCAGTCACGTAAAGATAGTGGACAAATATTAGAATAACCTCTCAGTTTAATTACATTAATTCAACAGCAGCACAACCTCAAAAATGATCATAAACTTGATTAGAGCCTCTTTCATGAGTAAGATTTATTACCAGACTGTTGTAATGGACGGCATTAGCTTTATCTAGGTGTACCTAATTAACTGTAAACTGAGTGTAAATGTTCAAAGTAACATTGTGCACTCCTAGGGAAAACTGTGATTTATAATTACTTAAATTAAGAGAAAAGATGAACACTGTAGATTGTAGCTTTCCATACTTTGTGTTGCCCACTAAGTAAAGTAATAACTATAATAACTCCCTCCTGTAGGATGATCGGCCTCCCCACAGGCATCATTGGCTTCATCCTGGCCAAGAGAGAGGTGGACAAGAACCGACTGAAGCAGCTGAAGGTTCGACAGAGGATGAATCAGTCGAATGAGGGAGAATACGTAGGGAGTCGCTACCGCCATGGTGCAGAAGATGTCAAACTGGACCGATGATGGACGTGAATGTCGCCACCGAGACGGTGACTCCACTCAACTGAAGCCCAAAGACTGATTACAGAAGAGATGTCAACTTTATGAGCTTAAAACATCCAAAACCTTGCTCATGAACAAAGATGGAGTATCCTGTTGAAGTTGAGCATTACATGGAGAACGATCACATATTTATCAGCCTTGATGCTGATGTTCTATAAATATGATAAAGGAAATTAATGTATATTTATAAATGTGTGATTAAATGAACAATAATCATCACTGGTACAAATGTATATGAACAACATTGAAACTAATATAAATGTTTTTTTTTATATTAAAAGGCAAAACACAGATTCCTCATCATTGATGTTTATTTACAAACAGCCTTGCTGCACATTCAATACGTCTGCCTTTGTTGTTTTGAGTCAAGTGTTGTATGTAACATGAGTCTATACTTGTGATGAATAGGAGTCATAGTATAGAATGCCATAAAATTCTTAGAAAAGTCATATTACCTGAAAATTGAATATATAAACAATATCGTAGAGTATGTCATAAAGTAATTTTATAGTGTCATAAAATGCCATTTTTATGGCATCCAAAATGTCATAAAAAAGTCATAGTATAGTATGTTGACTTTCTTTTAAAAATAGTATATAGTTTGTCCAAAATATGATGAAAAAGTGTCAAAAAAAGTCCTAGTATAGTATTTTGAAAAACGTCTTAGTATAAAATATCAAAAAAGTCATAGTATTTAAAAAAAGCTCTAGTATATTGAAAAAGTCAGGTTTCAATGATCATTTAGTGTCATAATGCAACACTGCAACTGCACAACTAAATGCAGTTGTAGCAATTTGCAACACAAGAAATGCAAAAATATGACAAACCAAACATCCACAAATCCTAAAAATTCATAGTATAGTATATTAAAAAAGTCATGGTATTTTGAAAAAGAAAAAAATAGCAATCTAAGTCATACTATGTAAAGTAATAGCATAGCATGTCGAAAGAATGATAAGTCAGTTTCATACGTTGAAAAAAGTAAAAAAACAATCATATTATAGTATGTCGAAAAACGTCATAATATAGTTCTTTAAAATATAACTATAATATATTAAGTCTAAAAAAAAGGCATAGTAAATTTATTTAAAAAAAGTGATAGTCAGCATAGTAGGTTGAAAGAATGTTATAAAAGAGTCATAGTATAGTATGTCAAAAAACCTCATTAAAATGCCACACTGACCTCACACACAGCTGCTATAAAGGTCCAAAGGGAATATTACTGTATGTCGAAAAAAGTCATAGTATAGCATGTGGAAAAAGTAATAAAAAGTCATAGTATAGCATGTGGAAAAAGTAATAAAAAGTCATAGTATAGCATGTGGAAAAAGCCATGGTATATGATGTCGAAAAATTTATTTTAAAAAGTGCTAATATATTAAGTCTAAAAAAGTCACAAAAGGGCATAGTATAGTATGTCAAAAAAGCAAAAAAGAAGTCATAGTATAGTAGGTCTGAAAAAGAGTGATAATATAGTACAATGGAATATAAGTATAATACTGTATATTACATTTTAAAAAAGCATTAAAAGGCATAGTATGTCAAAAAATGCCTGAATCTTATGTTGAAAAAAAAAGTCACAGTATAGTATATCAAAAAAAGTCATAGAAATGTCTGACTGTGGATCAAACACTTCCACCCAATTTGCTCCCTTTGTACTACAATATGTAGCATACACACGTTCTCTACACACAGCATCAATAATGGTTACTTAATGTGTTGCCCACAAAGTACAATCGTTGATATAATAATAATGACTTCCTCCTGGCCAAGGGAGAAGTGGACAGAACCGAGAGAAGATAAGCAGGTCGAATGAGGGAGAAAGTGAAGGTCATGCAGAGGATCTGAATATTATGAGCTTGAGTTGCAAACTCATTGTTGAGGCAGATGCAATAAATATAAGGAACATGTTTGAGACCGAGCCTTTAATCACAACAGTTTTCTTCTTGCTCACGAACAAAGATGGAGTATCCTGTTAAAGTTGAACATTACATGTGTAGAACGCTCACATATGTATTAAGCCTTAATGCTGAAGTTCTATAAATATAATACAAGAAATAAATGTATATTTTAGGAATCAAGAATCATTACTGGTACAAATGCATATAAATCACGTGAAAACTCACAAATATAAATGTTTATTTGACATGAAAAGGCAAAAAAAAAAATCCTCATCATAGATATGTATATTTACAAACAGCCCACCATCCGTGCGGCGCATTCAAAACGTCTGCCTCAGTTGTTTTGAGTCAAGTGTCGTATGTAACACGAGTCTATACTTGTGATGAATATGAACAGAGGACCAGCTGGGTTGAACATTTCGGAGCTTTTGGACAATGCCTCACTAGCTGGAACTCACTGACTTTTCAGGAATGCTCCACTAATGCAACACCCTGGCATTGGTTGTGTTGTCCTGTATGAAAAAATACCCTCAGTATCTGACCCAGATTTAACTGCAACATGAAATATAGAAACAGACTCAATATGTAACAATGCTAGAAAAGCCTGATGGGTACAACCCTGTAGTTCTGAAAGTGAAAAAACTCTAATCCAGAAACAGTCATTTTGAAGGCACTGTCGTGATGTAGAACGTATACAGCTACAATATAGCAGCATGTATTAAACCACCAGCAAAGGCTCGTTAATATGAAGCTGTCACCAGGTGTACTGAGCTGTATCAATACTGACGATATTAAGTCTACATTTGAGTATCCGTACTGGTGTCATGAGGATCAATACCAAATATTACATCATGTAAAATCACATTTTAAACACAAACACTGTTCTTAGTGCGGCCTTATTAGTGTATCGATGCTGCTGTGTGCACGCTCGCAGAGATTACCACAACTGGTGTTTAACATTAACGCCTGTTTTGCCTTCTAACATGCATACAATTAAAAGGAATAGTTCAATATTCGGATTCACTTTCACGCTGACAGTGAGATGAGGCGATCACTACCACTCACATGTCTGTACGCTTAATATGAAGCTACAGCAAGCAGAAAGAGGGGGACACCATTAGTCTGGTTCTGTCCAAAGGTAACATAACCTGCACCTGTAAAGCTCATTGATTAACACTTTATACACACTAAATGTGCAAAAACCTGAGCGGCGATGAACAGGCACTCGACACTTCTGGTGTACGGGGGCTGTGCACGCCAAACACTGCACGAATGAGTTAGACGGTGTTTCCTGTGTGGCTCTGGAAATGATGCATTGCACATTTGTAACCCCCTCCGGTGTCCACTACGTGGTGCTTGAGAATTCGCAATTATTATACATCATGCAACCCCAGCTTGCGTTTGCGCTATGGAGTCCGCTGGCCGCGCCCGAGCGCAACCACTGCAGGACTTTGCGATTTTTGCCAGTTCTGAAGTGAGTGACAATTTCCGTGAGTTTTTGTGCATCCCAAGCTCTCCAAGAATACGACTGTGGAGCAGAAAAATAACAACAATAACAGGATCCTCTTCCAATGGCCGTTGGGCCCTAAAAATGATGTTTGTATACTTATACATGTGACGGAGAGCTTTAGAAGAGCTGGTCGGCAGATTTTCTACCTTCAGACAAACCACATTTGTGGTGAACCGAGTTGGCACATTTTGAGTTTGATTGCCTGTTTTCTCAACATTTCTACAGTCGCACCCCCAGTTCATGTATAACAGTATATACATCTACATGCAGAGAAAAACATTTGTCTTAACTTAAGTCCAGCAAGAGTGAATAAACATTGCAGCTAGCATGTTAGTGTCTATATGCATCGGCTGTATTTATATTGTAGTATTAATATTCTGTTCAAACCACTGAAAAGTGCAGTAACCTGTGACAACATTTAAAATTCAGCCCTTAAACATTTTCACTGGAGTGCGTTATGAATCTTCTCTGATTCGACTGAAAACAAAGCAAAAGGTTTATATTAAAAAAAAAAAAAAAAAAAAAAAAGCACGGAATGGTTTTTGCAGGCGCTGGTCTGCGCCCTGTTGACCCACATTGGTCGTGTAACCGCCGGGTCCAATTATTTGGTCGAAGCGCCGATAATTTGCAGCAGGAAGAGGAAGATCTGGACGATGTCGACGTAGAGGGAGAGCGCTGCGAACACATACTCCTCTGGACTGATGGAGTGCTTCCTGTTCCCCAACAGCAGCTGTGTGTGGTACGCCAGGAACTACGAGACAAGAAACACATTCAGAGTAACGCTGGAGCGAGCGACAGAGAGAGATACCAGACGGGCAACGGTAAAAAAAAATAAACTACACAGCACAAAACCGCTCGTCAACACTCACCATGGTGAAAGCAATGGCCCCTATAGCTGCGTAGAGCATGTGAAGCCACAGCATCTGCAACAACAAACATTCATTACAACGATGGAAACTCAAAAAAGGTGTGTTACGAGTGTGTGTTTGTTCACATCAGCCTTAACTCACATATTTGAATGACAGCACAATGGTTGAAATGATGCCAGTCACAAACACCACGATCCCAAGCACACAGAAGAGGCCCTGGTACTTGGTGAAGTCCACCTGGAAAGAGAAACCGCACACATCCGAGTTAATATAGGCGCGACGGCACTCGTGCGCTGCGGCCGTTTGAGGCTGATAGCTCTCGCACGCACACCCCTCACCTTTGTCTGGAAGCAGAAGACGGTGACGCAGATGCAGACGACGGCAGTGATCCCCAGAGCGAGAAACACAGCTTTTGTTTCGTAATAGCTAAAAGCAAAGAGCAGCACACAGTTCATTCTGAGGGACAGTGGCTGGATGTTTGTATACCGCCAGGTGGACTGTTCAGGTTAGGTTTACCTGGAAATGGATCCAGTCATGTAGGACAAAGCCAGGGTCTGTAAAAATAAATAAATGTAAAAGTAATTTTCCACAAAAAAAAAAAAAATACAAACACATCACATAATTTGACGAACAAAAATCCTGTAACTGACATACATCATCAACAACATCTCTGATTATAAGCTATAAAAAGGGCTGGACCAAGAATACACGGCCTCCTAATGATACATGATATATTACTGCAATTTTAACATGTTTTCTTGTGCCAAGAACAACAGGCTATGCTCCATGAAGTAATACTTTGTGCACAGAGCTGATAAAACACGGACACAGAAACAACATATCAAATGCATTATGCAAACGCAGCCGAGTGCGGTGACTCACTGCTTACATCTAGTATCAAAGTCAAACCTCCGGCGTGGAGATAATACGAGCGTAGGCTGAAGGAAAAGCTCACTGAGAGAGCTACAGGATACACATGATCCAAGTCCAGGACAGTAATTACGTGTCTCTATTTCCTGATTCGAAAGTTAAGTAGAAGTCATGTGACTTACAAAGATGGACAGCAGAAGGACGTTCCATGGGAACTTCCTCCTAAAAAGAGAGCGGGATTAGAATTTTGAACGCAGGCTTATGAATATTCCGTCTACGGATACTCTTTATAAAACTGAGCACTCACCGGGGGCCCTTACAGCAGACCAGTACGAGGTGGGTGATGAAGTACACGGCACTAAAACAACAAAATGCAGGGATGAATAAATGAATATTCACAAACTTTCCTAGAAAACTTTAAAAAGGCACCGACGTCACCGCGGAGTGAGACTTACTATGACGCCCAGTAGATAGCTTGGTTTCTCCGTACGAAAGATCTGACAGGTTGGCTGTAAGAAAACACAGGCAGAATGAATAGCGTAGACACACGGCGACACAAATACAAACAGGCACACAAAACACTCCGTGTACTCACACGAATGTGAATACGGCCACAATGGACGTGGTGACGAGGAGCTGAGCCGCCAAAATCAAGTACACCTGAAAACACACGCACACAAAAGACGGGGATGTCGCACCCCGTCGTTTCTCTCTTTGCTCCGTCACTCAAATGTAACGGCATGACAGACACAAACTGGGGCTGATCCATTATGGTTTGGGCGACGGGTGTGTTCTTACCTTTCTTATGAAGGCGTGCCGAATGCTCAGGCTGTCCCAGTTGCTGCCGCTCGCCGCAAACTCATCACCTGTGATATCAGCAGAACAGAAGTATGAGCACCGGGCACGAAGAGCTACAGGAAACGTGCCGTCTCTCACCAACGTTTTCTAATTGGTCCAACAAACTAGAGTATTTTTTATTTAACATTGGAAGACACAAACTGATATGCGTCTTACCAGAGCTCAGCATGTCTGATGGAATGGTAGGCGGCATGATAGGGGGCATGGGAGGGGGACTGGGGTAGCCGGCTCCCGGGGGCCCACCGTGGTGAGGCTGTCCTTGGTACGGGCCGGGAGGATAGCCGCCGGGCTGGCCAGGATACAGAGGGGCGTTTGGACCGGTGGGGTAGGGAGCGGAGGGCTGGCCTGGCGGGGGACCCCCAAACCCAGGGAAGCCGTACGCAGGGGGTGGTGGGTAATTGCCACCCTGAGGTGCATACAGCGGGCCCCGGGAGTCATCATACACTGGCGGGTAGTCTGACCTGGACATTTCACCTGTGAGGAGGAAATACAGTTCAGGGTGAGTGAATAGTAGGGAACAAACAACAAGGACAAACGCATTGCCATGCCCAATATTATCGCCAATTTCAGCTCATCATAGATACTGCACATCAGTATCCCCAACGTGGGCCTTAAACTTTTCTATTATCAATATTTTCATGTTAGCAATTGAGGAAACAAGAAAGACCACCTCACAGTTGTGTGCCATCCAGTAAAGTTGTGGTTTGCATTGTTGTCTGTCCAAAATATCACTAGATGACATATAAAAAAAAGGCAGAGTATACTATGACATACAATAGGTCACCAAAAAAGTCAGAGATTAGTATTTCATAATATAGTCATCTTACAGCTACCATAGAACGTCATAACAAAGTCATAAGAAGTTATTGTATGTCTTAAAAAGTGAAAGTATGTCTTAAAAAAAAAAATGACACAAAACACTCAGAGTGGCCCAGTGAAGCTCTGGAGGATCTTCGGGCGTGTTTAGACTGTACAGACTGGGATGTCTTCAGGACTGCTACCAACAGTCTGGATGAGTACACAGAGGCTGTGACGTCATACATCAGCTTCTGTGAGGACAGCTGAGTTCCAACCAGCACCAGGGTGAGTTATAACAACGACAAACCCTGGTTTACAGCAGATCTCAGACAGCTAAGGCTGCACGAGGATCAGGCATTTAGGAGCGGCATCATTCGCTCTGCTGAGAGGGCGATTGGCTGCAATCTGCCGTCCCTACAACACTTGTTTGCTTCAAGGACCTGTAAGAAAGATTGTAGCCGACCCCTCTCACCATGGACACAAACTGTTCGTGCCCCTTCCATCTGGCAGGAGGCTGCGGTCCATCAGGACCAGGACCTCACGCAGTTTTTTTCCCCATCGGCAGTTGGGTTCATTAACAAAGCCCGGGACCCCCCACTGAGTCCGACATCCCCAGGACAATTTCCTACCGGTACACTCCCCAGGAAATCCCTTCATATTTAAATACATTTGACACTTTTACATTACACTTACATTATACTTGTTTAAAGTACTGTTATCTGTGCACTATATTTTATTGTACATTTTAATATTTTTCTCTTTTTTGCACTGTGTTGATTGTTTAATGTTATGCACCATCCACCATGTCAAAATCCTTGTATGTGCAACATACTCTGGCAAATAAACGTGTTTTGTGAGGTCACAGGTGACGTTGATCTCTGACCACTAAATTTGAATCAGTTCATCCTGGAGTGTGAGCGGATGTTTGGGCCAAATTCAAAGGAAATTCCCATCAGGCGAACATTGATATATTTCATCTGCGTGAGAATGGGACGGAGGGATGGACAGCCCGTAAATGTATTGCCTCCGGCTATGGCTATCATCATTATCACCCGACTCTGAAGTTCCCCTCAGCTCTGTGGAGCATTTTAGCATCTTTCAGCCCATTGTTTTGGTTATGTGGCAACAACAGGTTTTGATTGTCTCATGGTGTAAATATGCAGCTGTTTGCTAACACGTTAGCCGTGTCAACTTTGTTAGGTGATAACATTGCTGTGTTTACAGCTTGTTGCGGTGTCCCCAAGTGACCAAAAAAAGAGAAATTGATGCAGGTTTAAGAAATAACAAACTGCAGTTCAGAAATACCAAAGACATATTTGCGCTAATTTAGCGCTGCCCCTACATACAGTACTTCATCCACCATAGGGTTTCATCAGGTTAAAGGGAACACATGGTTCTGCTTACAAATGTGGTTCCCAAAAACCGCGACAGGCTCAAGAACCACCGCACGCGTCTCTGAGGGAGATTTCTAATAATAAACCACACCCACCCACACCCACATGTCCCTACATTGAGTATTAAAACAATTGTGATACTTTATTTTAGCAACAAAATGAAACCACTTTTATAACGTGAATCATTTAGCTCTTAAAGTCGTCTCTCAAAATGGATTTATACATGTAGCAGATGGTCTCTGACTCGCTACACTATCACAGTAACTAAGCCACCATATTAAAAAGACAGCAGTGTTTCTAAGAAGGTTCCCTTTTTTCGCTCACTTGGTAGTTCACTGGGGCGTTTTTAGGGGAATACGCACAGTAAAGGAATTCAACAGCTGGCTAACACCCAATGCTGCCATTACATCACAGCCAGAGCACCAAGCAACAGGGCAGAAAACACTGAACGGAAAAAGTGATCAGAGTATCGGCAGTCACAGAAGAAAGCACAGAGCCGATCCCTTGCTTGGTCAATGAGACTCTGTTCAGCAGAGGGGGGGGGGGCTGACGGTGTTTGAGTAGAAGGGCGGAACTCTCCTGGAAGAGTGTTAGAGTCTAGAAACCGAACCCGTTGTAGTGAGAAATGAGTTCAAGCTGACAGCTGAATGTCGAGTTCCCACATTTGATTATCATATTTCATAATCGCCATAATTACCAAGTCATCGTCATGTTTCTGAGTCACAGTTGCAGCCTTTGACAGCACCATCTCCATTTTGTTTACGTCCATGTAGCTGAACAGACCACATCAGTGACATCACTGGCAGCAAGGCCTTGTGCTACACGCGTCATGCCAAGCCTGTCATTTGGGACAACATGACGATCTTATCATACCTTACATGACAATAAGAGAAGGAACCGGTTTGACTAAGCTCTATATTTATGCTTTTTGTTGAGACCGTCTAAAGTTTTGATTTAACTGAGGCGTCTTTGATTTCATATTGGTGAGGGTCTACTAGTGACTACTTTAATGCAATCAATCTTCCTCGGTCAGAATGGCAGCATAATCAATTATCAAAATAATCTTTTGTTTCCCAGACTATAATAGTAACAAACTGTGACATCAACAGTTTGTGTCTATGAGGTGAGCAAGAGGAATACTCCCATCACTGCACAGGGACTTGTGACCGGTCATTTACACCTGAAGGTGGAATTAACTCGTTTACAGAAATCAGTGTCAGTACACTGAAAAAAAAAACGTTTGAGTCTTTACATGGAAATATTTCGTTTGTTTAAGTTAATCAGCATTTGTTCAGGAGACAATACATTTAGCATTTCTTTCTAGTTCCACTAAAGGCCCCACTTCATCAGTAAATAACAATTCAACAGGATCCTGACTAGCCAGTTAAAACAGGAACAGTGTTTGGATGGAGCACTTCAGGAGTTAGTACTGTAGCAAAAAATATACACATTTTCTTCTTAAACACTTTGAAAAATGTGACTCAAATCATTGTAAAATATTAATCTGGCTTAATCTACTTAAAACAATATGGATGATTTCCTTAAAGTTATTTTTACAAGAGCTAGTCTTGCTTCATCTACCTGATATGTAGAAAGTTGCCTTAAGTGGCTCAAGCTATACGTGTATTAGTGTCATGGTTACAGTACATCTGTGGTGGCCCCACTGAGTACAAATGCTGGCTCACACCGACATTAGTTGTGATCTCTCACTTTGAAGGCAATGCTTAACACATTTGTGAAAAAGCAAACGAGATGTTTGTAGTTTCCACATTGGTAAAAGGCAAACGGAAAATGTGAACCATCAGCTCCCTGTTTCATAGACGGAGAGCAGTCTGTGGTATCCATCAGTTTAACTGTGGCTAAATTAAACGTCAACATTGGAAGTGTACTTGACTGACACGGCTGAGCGGTTTAAAAAAAAAACCAAACAAACTGTGTAACGTGTCCAGAGCACGCGGACCCTGCAGACCTGACCTCAGCTCACAAGAAGCCCTTTCAGGTGAGGCTAGCCTGCTGGACACACAGAGCTAACACACACACACACCACCTGCAACACACGGAATTCAATGTACAATGTGTTTCTGGGTCGTTGAGCCGCTATGAAAACACGACAACATTAACATGAAATTGTCTACTTACCGAATAAAAGACGCCAGTGAAAGAAAACAGTCTGGTCGCAACGGTCCCCAGCGGTAAAGTGAGTAAACCGAAAGGGCTTCCGGTGTCGGCCACGCCCTCTGTTTACACCAAAGCACTGAAGAGATCCTGTCCACGGGCTCGTGTGGAGCTGCTCAGCGGCCTGTGTGTCTGTTATCAGGTCTGTCCTCCTGCTGTATGTGGAGCAGCAGTGAAGAACATTTCCTGGCTGGAACAGTGATGAGCAGGGTGGAGTCCAGAGGAATCTGTCACACAGGCGCGTGTGTATGTGTGTGCGCGCGCAACAAGGCTTGCGTATGCAACAAGGCCTGACGGGTTTCGCTGACTCATTTCTATATTTATTAACAGACTTCTCATGTTACTGAATAAAGGTGCGTTACAAGTAAATACATGAACTTAAATACTGGACTGTAGTTCAGTTAAATCATACATCTTTCTTCATTTTTAAAGTGCAAATGTAGTTTTCATTCTCCTGCATTCATCTTCACACATTACTACTTTTTTGCAATAAAGATGTTATAATGTGGATAATGGATGGTGCATGTAAAGAGGACAGTACTGTAGCTGTAACAGAGTATTTCTGCATTTTGCAACTTTCTTTTTTTTTTTTTTTTAAAGAACTGACTTCATAAAACACCAACACAAATAATGTGTATATAAAGGGCAGATTTATGCAAATTCTCTCTTAAAATTACACTTTTCTCAAATAACACATTGTTGCTGTCCTAAATCATATGGGAATAATTGTAAACAATTCAAAAAGGACATTTTCTCCGAGTGGCTTCGGCAACATTTTATATGCCACGATGCTTTTTGATTAAGAGACATACAATTCTCAAAATAAGTATGCAGACAGTCAAATTCATTAAACCAGCTGTGCTGTACAGTGAGATTAAAAACAACAGACATGGCCATATCCATACACACAGCAAACCAGTCAAGTCTAAGCAAAATTTGGCACATTCTCAGCTTTGCACTTGGTTTGTGGTCAGCTCACACAAATTTGAGGACGAGCTTCTTGGTGAGGGTGTATTTGGGCTGTGGCATTTGTTTGTAGTTTAAATATTCTCCTTTGCCGACCTCCCTGTTCACACGTGTCAGCACAGTGAGTACATCCTCCTTCTCCGAGCTGCACAGAAAACAGAGGAATCACGTCACAAATCATAAACCTTGCACAAATTGTGGGTATATTTTAATAAAACATCATGACATCAGCAGCATAGCAGATTATGTTATGGATCACGTCAGACAGTTAGGCCTACTGTAAACACTGTTGACTCTAGAAATCTACCACTCCCCCTGTATATGAGCCCTACTTTTTAACTCTGAATGACGACTCTTTTTTAATACTTTGGGAATGCTGTACTTATAAACATGAAGATGTCACCCACAGCACAAGCAAGCATAAGTGCTCATTCTTTGTAAAAGAGTTTGGCAAAGCTGGGGTCCAGCCTGGTTTTAAAGAATGACTTTGTTGGCCAAACATTTGCCTAAACTGCAGCTGGACAAAAGGCTCAACAAGCATCATCTTAAACTCCGGGTGGAGGGCCTCTCACCTTTCTGCTGACCTCCTCAGCTGCCTGCACAGCTCCTGGATGTAGATGGAGCCCGTGTTAATGTTTCGAAATGACTTGCACTCCGGCACGGTGGCCATGCCCAGCAGCATGTCGGCCTCCCAAGGGACAGTCTCGCCGCTCACAGAACCAGCGTCTTCCTCCAGGCTCTCCCGGACCGCCTCCTCCTGTTTTGGCCTCAAGGGACACGGCTGGGCTCCTCTCTGGTAGTCGCTTCCCTGACACGCTTGGATGAAGAACAGTTTGGGCTTCCCTGCCAAGGTGGGTGCTCCCCTGCTGGTGAAGGGCCGGGTCAGTTCTTTTAAGGACACCTTCTGTTCATCGGCCCCAAAGACACATTCCATTGCTCCATGGGAGAGCACGCACACCACCTGAGATCAGACATGTTTTGTGTTAAAATGTGCTACGTTTCAATAAAACTTGGATTTTAGATAAGAATTCTCAATGACACTTTAATAATAATGTTGGAGTTAAACATCAGATTGTTTTGTAGTCAAGCAATCCCAGTCAGTCACAGAAACTTGTAGGTTAACTACACTTTGACAAGACTATTGTAAATACAGTTTCAAAGGTAATAGTTCAACATTTTTGAGAGTGGTATTGATCAATCATTCAAAAATGACAAAAAAAAAAAAAGTATTCCTCAAATGTCAACCTACTGTCAAACTATTCGTTTATAGAGCAAAAGATGAAGTGTTGTCAATGATATAACAGCCCTGAAGGTGTGTGACACTGCTCACCAACGCATCTTCATCCAGAAAATCCCGTGAGCCTAGCATCCGTAGTTCTTGTCGCATGGCTTCTGCAGTCAAGTTGTTGTGCACCGACACAGTAAAGCCAAGGAGGGTGAACACTGTGCTCAGAGCCTCTGTGTCACATAAAAGAGAGACAAATTGATTGTTTTTAAATCATCTCATCTTATATTATCATCAAATCATGTGTGATGAAGCAGGATCACAACCTGGAATGCTGCTCGGTAACGCATAGATAAACAGTACAGAAACAAACCAGATCACATGGTTGACCAATAACAGGGAGACATACCCACATCCTCCTGACTTCCTTTTCGGGATTTTAGCTCTGATCCCTGGAAGTCCTCATTATTGATGACCACACACAATCCACGTGGTATATTTTTCAGAGCGTAGTAGTCCGCCTAAGGGGCACAAGCACAGCCACATAGATAAATCATAAACATTATTTTTCTAATAAATGAATAAAAGTTATTTGTGTTTGAGTGAATGGTTACATGATCAGGAAGAGAGGAGGACTCTGTATTTGGTTCTGCATCGGAGCAAACAGTCATTTCTCTACCTGAGGAACAAAAACAGAGGTCTATGCATCATTAAAAACGATGGCACAAGGGGGAATATCTACAGCAGTGAGGGGGGGGAAGGCTAATCCGGAACGTAAATGATTCAATGTCTGTGTGCTCAAAATGAATGGGAAGTCATTGAGTCATACAGACAAACAGAGGGACTTACAGCGGGCCTGACTTTCAGATATCGACACGTTGTTGACCCTCTGTAGGAACAAAACAGAGTTAGAGTTTTCTTTAAGCTGGCTCGTTATAGTATTAACTGTATACAAACACACATTTATACACACACCTGGTAATCCATGCTGACATGAGACACTCTGGCTTGAGGCGGCGGGGTTACCCCTAAAAAGAAAACAATCATTTCACGAGTTTCGTAGTTTTGTAACATTTAAATGTGTATGTGCTTGTGTGTAAGTGCACATCATACTTTCCATGTAGCGCTGTATCATCGATGCCAGTTGTTGATCCAGTTGCAGCAACACTGTATGCAACTCTTGAAGATTTGTATTCGACAGTAAACCACTCTTTTCCATTTCAGCAAACACATCCAGTGCCGTCTGTAAGCAACAGAGGAGACTGTGTGTAGGCTTTGCAGCTGCATCACAACTAGAAGTCACTTCAGGTGCAGCAATAGTGGTGTTGCTGTGTGTGCATCTGTATTTTATATGATATTATATCTAAATACATCAATACACGGTGCGATGTGCCAAAAGTTGGATGAGCATTGCCATGGAAGCCTGGTATTCATGTTACATTAATAACAACAAAATTAAAAAAACCAAGGTCGTTAAGTCAATCAATAAATTCAATCTCAGAAGCAAGCGGCTATTATCTGATGATTATTTCGATTTTCATTGGTTTGTAAACTGGCTACTTGTGAAACAACCCGGTCGCACACGCACAAGTTGCTTTATCGGATTGTAAACAATGAGCAGTGCACGGAAAAGGAAGTCTCTGCCCAGATATCCGCTGGCTACACCGGGACCCCAGAAATATATGCCCTTAACCGCCACCGATAGCCGACGGGTTCAAAATGGCCACCCGAGGGTGTCTACATCGTCTGAGCGGCTTATACTGTAATTGTTATGGTACAGAAGTTATACTTGCTTATGTAATGAAAACTATAACCAAGTTCCTATTTGTCAATTAATACAACATTCAGGTGGTGGTCTTAATGGATTTTGGTTAGTGTACCACTGTTGACTGAAAAAGAAAAAAAAAACCGATAACTTAGTGCGCCGATTACAGTGGAGGGAATTCAACTTTTTACTATTAACTATATATTGGATTTTTTACTCAGCAGAAAGTGAACTCTACATGTCATCATTTCCTATTTAACTGTGGGTTTTCTCACATTGCATGTCTCAGTTTGTCTTCTGCCCAGCTGGCTGCTCAAAAGAAACTTCATCTTGTCAAGATTTTCCTGAGTCATGTCCTCATACACCTTGTACAGTGTCACCCTGAAAGAAAGAGCAGAGGAGTGGAAATGAGAAAGAGAGAAACAACAGACAAGAGACTACAACTGGGAATAACACTGTATTGTAATCCTGGTGTACAGTAGATTTATTTCTGCCTTCACACGTACCTGTATTCTGACAGCATGGGACTTGCGTCGGTTTCTTCCAGTCGCCTGCTGTCTGTCTCCAGGAGGTTGAGGAGATCTGTTCGACGGATAGTTTGGAGGAGGTTATAAAGGAACAAGTCGTTCTCCAGCAGACCCTTTTCTTCCAGTCTCAAGAACAGCTTTTTCGCATCCCTGATCTGTATGAGAACAACCAGGAAACACACAAACGAACCTTTGAGAAGACAAACTTTAAAAAGGGAACAACATGCAACAGCTGAGGATAATAGCGATGGCAGAGAAATGTTGTCCATAAGGAGTCATTCACATCACAGGGCTTAGTGTTCAAGTACGATTTTCCCCCACATCCGATCTGTCTGCCTAGGCTTTCATATTAATGTTTGATATTAGGCTTAACTGACGACAGGTTAACTTCACGCTGCCGTAGTGGTATCGCGTGCAGTTGTATTGGAGTAGTTTTACGAGTACATGAGCACAGTATCAGACCTGATACCCGAAACTGTTTCCTACCGTCCAAGGAAAACCTCTTTTAACATATTGTCAAATTTAACGGAGCCAAGGTTACCAACAAACATCTACTCCCTCTGAAAGATCATTTATGATTTATTACGACTCATAAACAGACGCCCACTCATTCAGTGAACATGATGTGGTGATGATGATGATGCTCATCTACCTTAACAACGCCGTATACACATTCTTATAACTGCTGATTTATTAAATCAGAGTGAAACATGACGAATAATTTAGGCTTTTTTTTCCTCAGGTAACAAACATCATCAGTGTGATAACCAATGACGCATTGCAATAAGTTCTGTGAAGAGTTTCTTCTTCTTCTTCTGTAGTTTCAAAGTACCACTTCGGCACTGTATGGTGAGTGACCTGCACAGTAAAGTATGACTTGGAATAACACACTGAATTCCGTTACGACTTTTCTCACAGAGGTTGATTAGGCAGTGATGGACATATGAAAATAGCCCAGATCTGCTGGGGAAAAAAAATAAATAAATATCGGATTCCTGTGTCCTCCCTACTCTGAAGAAAATCAGACATGAGAGCAAAGCAAAAAAAATAAAATAAATAAAGAATAATAATAATAATAATAATAATTCAGGCCACAATTGCTTGTAATGTGAATATTTTATTAATATTGTTTAAACAACAACATAAAACACTTATACACACCGACTTAAAGAAGTAAGAAACTCAACATAAACTGTCCATAGTTACTGATCAATGTGTCTTCTTTTCATCAGACATGGGGTTGAGACAAGAGCAAAGATAACACAACACGGTGTAGGTACTCACTCCCTCCAGACGTTTCCTGTTGACAACATCTTGACACAAAAAGCAGAGAGATGCCACCTCAGAGGACTCCAGCTCCTCATCTATGCGAGACAGCTTCAGCCGATCCATCACAGAGCCGCTCCCTCCAGCACAGGCCCGGTGCTCAGCTCACAACTCTACGGGTTATATTGCTGTCAGAGGGGCAGAAACATCAGAGACAGGCACAGGCACAAAGGAAAAGTGGGCATCTGTTAGGGAAGCTAAAGCAAGAGAAGATAAACACAACATGAGCTGTGGCTGAATATATTAGAAATACTCATTTACGTCATAGACAATAAACAGATCGGAAAGATCTCTGTAGACATATTGTACGAGTACTCGTTACTTTTATGGACTTTACTCTCAAAGTCTACGCAGTCTGGCTATGTATAAGACTAAAATGTATTTCAGATGGTTAACATATACAATGGGTACGGAAAGTATTCAGACCCCTTTAAATTTTTCACTCTGTTTCATTGCAGCCATTTGCTAAAATCAAAAAAGTTCATTTTATTTCTCATTAATGTACACTCGGCACCCCATCTTGACAGAAAAAAACAGAAATGTAGAAATTTTTGCAAATTTATTAAAAAAGAAAAACTGAAATATCACATGGTCATAAGTATTCAGACCCTTTGCTCAGTATTGAGTAGAAGCACCCTTTTGAGCTAGTACAGCCATGAGTCTTCTTGGGAATGATGCAACAAGTTTTTCACACCTGGATTTGGGGATCCTCTGCCATTCTTCCTTGCAGATCCTCTCCAGTTCTGTCAGGTTGGATGGTGAACGTTGGTGGACAGCCATTTTCAGGTCTGTCCAGAGATGCTCAATTGGGTTTAGGTCAGGGCTCTGGCTGGGCCAGTCAAGAATGGTCACAGAGTTGTTCCGAAGCCACTCCTTTGTTATTTTAGCTGTGTGCTTATGGTCATCGTCTTGTTGGAAGGTGAACCTTCGGCCCAGTCTGAGGTCCAGAGCACTCTGGAAGAGGTTTTCTTCCAGGATATCTCTGTACTTGGCCGCATTCATCTTTCCTTCAATTGCAACCAGTCGTACTGCCATAGCATGATGCTGCCACCACCATGTTTCACTGTTGGGATTGCATTGGGCAGGTGATGAGCAGTGCCTGGTTCTCCCCACACATACCGCTTAGAATTAACGCCAAAAAGTTCAATCTTGGTCTCATCAGACCAGAGAATCTTATTTCTCATAGTCTGGGAGTCCTTCATGTGTTTTTTGGCAAACTCTATGCGGGCTTTGATATGTCTTGCACTGAGGAGAGGCTTCCGTCGGGCCACTCTGCCATAAAGCCCCGACTGGTGGAGGGCTGCAGTGGTAGTTGACTTTGTGGAACTTTCTCCCATCTCCCTACTGCATCTCTGGAGCTCAGCCACAGTGATCTTTGGGTTCTTCTTTACCTCTCTCACCAAGGCTCTTCTTCCACGATTGCTCAGTTTGGCTGGACGGCCAGGTCTAGGAAGAGTTCTGGTCGTCCCAAACTTCTTCCATTTAAGGATTATGGAGGCCACTGTGCTCTTAGGAACCTTGAGTGCTGCAGAAATTCTTTTGTAACCTTGGCCAGATCTGTGCCTTGCCAGAATTCTGTGAATTCTCTGAGCTCCTTGGGCATTTCCTTCAACCTCATGATTCTCATTTGCTCTGACATGCACTGTGAGCTGTAAGGTCTTATATAGACAGGCGTGTGCCTTTCCTAATCAAGTCCAATCAGTTTTTTTAAACACAGCTGCACTCCAATGAAGGAGTAGAACCATCTCAAGGAGGATCAGAAGAAATGGACAGCATGTGAGTTAAATATGAGTGTCACAGCAAAGGGTCTGAATACTTATGACCATGTGATATTTCAGTTTTTCTTTTTTAATAAATTTCTACATTTCTGTTTTTTTCTGTCAAGATGGGGTGCTGAGTGTACATTAATGAGAAATAAAATGAACTTTTTTGATTTTAGCAAATGGCTGCAATGAAACAAAGAGTGAAAAATTTAAAGGGGTCTGAATACTTTCCGTACCCACTGTATGTATGTGTGTGTGTATATATATATATATATATATATATATAT